CCGGAGCTGCTGGGGAGCTGTGGCTGGGCACCACAGGGACAGAGCCTCCTACGACACCTCCCCCTCCATTTCATTAGTGATAAGCAACGTGCTATATGAAGCATAGTATAGTCCTACAAAGGACTACGCCTAAGGTATATGCCAGCCGTACGGCTTCGCGCTGCTGGAAGGGGCTCGTTACTGCGGGCAGGGGTGGGCTGTAACGACTGCTGGAAAACAGCCTGAAATTTCATTGTATTTCAAATCAAATCTTGCTTTGGCATCAGCTGAACGCTTCAAAAATAAAAATAACACCCACAGAAGGAAGCAAGACCTCGCGCTGGGCTGCGTTCTTGGTTTCCCAGCCTCGCCGTAGCGTCGGGGGAAGGAGGGTTCTGCCGGCACCCGGCCGGCCGCGCCGGCCCGTCGAGCTGCAGCCCAGAGCCCGGCATTGCTCCCAAAGGGTTTGCAAAGTGTTTCCTCGGAAATGCACTTGGGCTTCTGAATAAAAGCCCAGATGCTGTTTATGCTGTTCTCTAGCATCTCGGTGCACTGTATTTTTTAAAAATGATTTGAATCAAAGCCCTCATTCTTTAATTAAACTTCATTTAGCTGCCATCTGCCTGGGATCAAAATGGCTTCATGTTTTGCAGCTCTTAATGAGGATTGTTATTGGATTTGTAAACACATAAACAACAACAACAACAAACCCCCCCACCAAAGTCTTTGAAAAGTAATAAATGAGAAACGTTGCTCAAGTGTTAAGATCTGCATCTTCACTTGTCTAATTGTAATGGAGCGGATCTCATTCAGCAGATAATCACGTTACACACAAAAAGCGGGTATAAAAATACCCTGCAACTGCAGGATCAAGATTCGGGGAGCTGCGAGAATTACAGCTGAGGGAAAACAGTAATAAAGCGATATCTGTCACTCCTCCGAAGCGGGAAGGGTCAGCGCTCCGGGGTCACAAGCAAATACAGGCACCCAGGGCAGGACTTTACCAGCCGGGCAACGGAAAATGAAAAGTGGATGTTGTGGCCCTGAAAATCCCCAAAATTACAGTGGGAATTACTGCTGTTCACTCTTAAGAATCTATCTGTTACCAAAACCCAGCATCCCCAAAACCCTGCTGGGGATACCGGTGGTGTCGGGCAGCCACGGAGCTTCCCGGGCGAGCAGCCGGGGCAGGGCACGAGCTGGTGAGTGGGGCCGGGGGCACACAGAGCTCCAGTCAATGGACCACGAAACTTAGGGAAGAAAACCTGAGCCTGGAGCTCTGGCTCGGCCCGTGCCGTAGCGGCACCGCCCGCCTTCCCCCGCCCCCCCCTCCC